GTATGTGTTTCCATTCAGCACCATCAGCGGCGAACCAAGATTGCCATTTGTAATGAGACATAAGTTGTTCTCACTGCAGACGCTGGGACGTTTCATGGAGCTGCGTTTGTCGCGGCCCCAGCCTGTTCTCCACCAATTGTTGCTGCTTGCCCTTCTGGTGGAGAACAGGCTGGCGCCGCGTCGAACCTAGCCCCACCTGGGGCGCAGTGTCTGCAGCGAAAACAACTGTATGTCATGGGCATGTTCACCGTGCACTGACGTAGACCCTGTTTTCGAATTTGCAGAACGGTTTTCTGCACGCCATTCCGGTGAGGGCGAGATCCACGTTCAAGCAGTTTGAACTTCACTTGATTTCATATAGTGTTTTTACGTTTATGATCACAATTTTGACATTTTGGCATTTTTTGATTTCGTTGGAGTTCTAGAATGGTTCATTCAAAGAGTTCGCTTGATTTCTGTTTCACACGTGCTCTAGGACGGAAACTAAGCAGTTTGTAATACCCTCCTTCAAGTTCAGGCTAGGCCAAGCGTTCTTCGCATAAGTCAGTGTTGATTTCAAAATGGCTTTTTGCAGCCTTTCTAGCTAAAAGTAGGCAATACGAGCATAGTACCTGGCTCGGCTCTCTGGTATACCTCTGCTATTTTCGTGAATCTCTAGAAAGTAGTCCGACATGGTGACAGACCTTGCCCCACCTGGGGCACGGTGTCTGTAGCGAAAACGAGGCGTGCTTGTCCAATCGTAACTTCTATTCTGAGAAGTTTGAAATTCTTCTGGGCTTTCTGTCTTTAATCTGACCACTGTTGGCTTGACCGCTCGGTAAGCCAAAACTGCTACCTAAGAGAAACGGGTACAAATAAAGAAAAAACCTGAACATAAAATAATGCTGATTTATGGGCAGTCTTGAACCCAGGTGGGCCTAAAACCCGCACCTGACGCTTAGCAGGCGATTGCGCTATCCGTTGCGCCATTAGCTCACTTACTCTCAATCTTACGCTCTTAGCTTGAAGGCTCCTATGCCGTGGATTGAACATTATGCCCACATTTATACATGTGAAATAGTGAACATCGAAAGGTGTCCGTGGTATGTCTTTGACCTGCGAATTAGAACTAAGGTATCCTCTCTTCATTTTATTGCTTCAATGTCGTACGCGAAGTGATTGTTAGCGCCCATTTTCCCCGATATAGCTCCGAATAGCACTTGAT